CCGTTCCTTTGGCATGCAGGAACTTGCGCCCTGCTTCTACCCTTCCCCAGCTTGGAAAGTTAATTTGTACAGCTGGAATAGGAGAAAGTCATTGACTTCAGAGCAGGAAGCATTTCTGTGCTTTGAGGAGGGAAGGAAGAGTCTGGATGTAAAGGAACTAATGAAGCAAAAAGTCGTAGGTCTGGTTTGATTTGAGGACAAACTTGAGATTGGGAGGAGTGAGTGTTAAGAGCTGTGGCTAAAATCCTATGTTCACATGATTGTAAGAGGCTTCTAAGGAAGTGGCCTTAGCCAAAAAACGAGCTCGGAGAATGGGGACTGCATTGTAGGCCACATACTTTGGTAGTTACGTTTCTTTCTTTCCAAATTGAGTGATTCTGTTTCTAATGACAGACGCATGGTTGTTGTCTCTCCATGAACAGTAATCCCAAGCCTTGAACATGAACAGCAGGACTTGCGTTGGGGAAAATTCTGAAATCAGCACTCTTCACATGCTTCTAAAAGAGAGCCTGTCTGTTGAAAAGCGTTTTCTTAATCATTATTTCATGTACAATTAACTGCCACATGTTTGTGTTCTCCCAGAGCCATAGATGGTTTGAGAAAGTTGATCTCTCTTTTCTTTTTAGGAGAAAAAGGGAGGAAAAAAATGAGAGGGGATGAGAGTCTGCTGCTGCTGGAGTTGCATCATTTCTTAAGAGCTTTGCCTCTCTCTCTCTCGCAACGGGACACACTGCAGACCTTGCACAGTAGGTGAAACCCTGCTTTGCTGGAGCTCTGCCGAAGCGTGCCGCGCGCTCAGGGCCGGCGCTGGGGCGCAGGGGCAGAGCCCCGCTCGCTGCAGCCCCCAGGGGAACCTCCCGGCGGGAGGCTTCACCGGCCACTCAGGATCGCTCCTCTGTCAATCCTCCCTAGTCTGCAAACAGAGGTGTTGATGCAGCTAGTGCCCTGAATGTAAAAGAACAGAATTTTCTACAGCGTGCAGCCGAGTTGGAGAAGGGTCAGTGCCTCCTGCTTGTTTCCTACCCCAGCCCTCTTTTAGATTGACCTGTTTTAAATGGAATATCTCAAATTAGAATAATGTTGCTGCAAAGTGTCAGGTTCCTAGACAGTTTATTTTTTTTTTAATCTAAAAAAAAAAAAAAGGACCTGGTGAAGGTAGACATCTTAGCACATCAAGCCTCAGAGCCTTTCCTTGCCTGCCTTTAACGAACTCTGGGTCATGATGTAACTCACTGGTCTCTTGGGCTTGGTAAGCTACAATATGTTCAAGTTTTGCTCTGCATGTATTGTCTTTTTCTATAAAATCTGCTTGGACCAATGTGCTGGGAAGGGCACCCGCACGGTTAAGGAAAATGCCAAGGAGGAGGCTGAGAAGGTCCTTTCAGTGATTTCCAGCTTTGCTCTTTGTGTTTTGGTGGTGTTTTGGGGGGGGTGGTTTTGTTGCTGTTGATTCCGTTGTTGTCGTTTTAAAGGCACCACAGTAGTTTGTTGTTGTGTGTCTGAAAATGCTGCAGACCTTGTCCTTGGACGTCCTGAGCTCTCTGCCATCTCCTGAGATCCGAAAGTAGGAAAGGAAACCGGCGTTTTCGTAAACAGAGGTGGAGAGGAAAAATTAAAGCTGTGCTAGCTAGTCTACTTGGATCCTCACGGCTTTGAAAGCCTTTTCAAAGACCTAATCGCTCTTTCTTAAGATGCAGTAATTTTTCCCTCCCTTGAAATCTAAAAATTAAAAGGGGAGGGTGGGGCAGAGGAAATAACGGTGGTGGGCTGTGGCGCAGGGTCTCCCCGCAGCCGCTCCGGTGGCAGGAACCCGCCCGGCCGCGGGCAGGGGGTAGCGGCGGCGGCGGGGAAGGGGAGGCGCCGAGACTCTTACTGTGAAGCGGCCGCGGGCGCTGCCTTTGTTGGGTCTGCGGAGCAGAGCGGCCCTGCCCCAGCGCGGTGTAGGGTTTCTCTGCCAATCAGGGGCCGACAGGCTGGGGCACGGGGAGCGGGAGCGAAAAGGGAAGTTTGCCTTGAATTTAGAGGAGGACAAAAAAAAAAAAAAAAAAAGGAGTGGAAAAGATCCAGGTAATGTCCCCCGCCCC